TTTGCCGCCAGTGGCCCCAGGCTGGGCTTTGAAACCCCCCCTTTCACCCTGGACTTTGCTCCCTGCCTCCACTCCTGCCTCTTCTTGCAGCACGCCAGGGTTCGGGGCGACGCAGCCTGCCTGTTCTCTAAAAATAGGGTGGAGTGTTTTTCCCACTATTTACTTGATTTCCTGCCGGGGCGGCGAGCCTGCCGAGGAATCCATTGAAGCGCCGGGAAGCTCACGCCATGTAAATACGGCGGAACAAGCTGCTTTTTAGACCTTATTTTCCCATGTGGGAGCAAACGGGCGGCAGCAGGGTACTTGCCCGGCACGGCCCCGCTGTTTTGGGACGCTTGTTTCTGTCTCCTGGGGGATATCGGACCCTCCCATCCCCATGCCGTGTTTGTAGCACCCGCTATCCTGCAAGAACAGCTCTTAATTGCTGCCTTCTCCTTAAATAATGAGGAAAACCGCGAATAGTTAGCCACCACCTTTAGCCCACGCGAACGGCTGCAACTGAGTTATAAATCCTTAAAATTGAGTTTTCAATGGTAACATTAAAATAACTGTTATCTATTAGAGATAGGACTGCGCCGGGGTAATTTATTATCTTGTTTCTCGCTCCTCCAGCCACACCTTATTAGTTCCCAAGCTAATGAGGGGCTATTTATCCTCAGCTCTCATGGAATGCTGTTGGGCGAACGCCCCAGCGCCAGCAGTGCTGTGGAAGCAGGGAGATGCTCTGCATCCCTCTTCTGACCTGGGATGAGCCGGATCATCCCCAGCCTTGTCCAGGAAGGAATTCCCTGGTTTAAATGATGCCTGGATCCAGGTTTTGTAGCGGGCAGGAGCCCCTTGCCAGGATGGCGTTGGCTTAGGAGGATGGCGAATGAAGAAGTTGGGTGTTTGGGGTCCGCTCATGGAAATCTTGGTGGCTGCTTGTTGGAGAGGGAAAGGAGAGCATGATTTTTTCCGCTCTGAGGGAGTTGCAACACGTGTGAGCTCTCCCTCCCCTGGGAAAATGTTAGATGTGCACTGCTGGAGTGTCATTTAGGTGCCTGTTTGTGTCCTTGTGCCACTGTGCTGGTTCTGAACCCACTCGCCTCCAGCACAGCCCTGCCTGGGCATCCTGGGGCTCTGGGTTTGGACCGGGACCGAGCAGCCTTTCTTGGCGCCCATGGCTGCCACGCTTGGGGTGTGGGATCCATGGGGAGCTCTGGGCTCCCCGTCTACTGATCCCACCCGAAGTCATCACTACGTCTCCGCACACCTTCGGCGATCGGTGCCTGGTTTTATTGCACCCATCAGTGATTTAGGAAAGCCTGGGTCACGTGCGGTGTGGGGCAGGTCTTCAGAGATGGGTGGATTTTAGTGTTGCTGGAGTGCCTGTGCCGAGCACGGAGACTGGGATGCCGCTGCCTTGGACATCCAGGGAACGCTGGCGAGTGTGGCTGGAGATGCCAGCAGCAGAGCTGGTGGGCTGACGAGCTGGGTCGAGCTCTCTGTGATGCAGGGCCAGGCAATAATTCCCTTTGCAGTTGTGCTTTTTCTTGCAGAGCTCCAGACAGCTCTATTAAATCTTTGCTAGGGAAATACCCACCCAGTTTGGCTGGGAGGCAGCCCAGATAATGAAAACTTTCATAAAGTAAGGAAAGAGCCTGACTTAGACTGTGTATCCAGAGGCAGGGTCAGCTCAGAGAACCTCTGCCCCAGGAGGAGGGCGAGACAGGTAATAAACCATCCCTCTTCCCCCAGCACTTAAAACCCACAATAAATCCCAGCGAATTCCTCTGGAGCAAAGCTGCTTTTTTATTATTATTATTATTTTTTGTGGAGGAAGCCGCCGCAGAGCAGTGGGAGGGAGGTAAACACCCAG